ATCTGAAATATGAATATTGTCATAATCATGCACTGCAGAAGAATGCTATTGGAAATGTGCAATATTTATAAATACATAAGTTAAAAAAATCTAACTCATAAACTCACTGAACAGAGAGTGAAGGTATCACCAAATAGAGTTTTTCTCAAATTTGGAATATTGCAAAGATTTATTAGACAAATACAAAGATTTGTAAATACAGGTGCTGTTATGTTACGACTGACATGATCACAGGGAACATTGCTGCCTTTTAGAAACGGGTCACTGTGCCTTTGCAACAGAATCAAGTCTGTTAATATAGTGTCGCAAACAGAATTTGATATTAAGAAGAGTGGAAAAATCAAGGTTTTTGATAAAAGTATGCAACCATCAGGTCTCCCACAGCGCTGAAAGGACTGTAACCTAAAACCCCTTCAAACTTTTGGAGTTGCAAAAGGATTCAGTTGAATTAAGACTTTGAAGACTTGCCACATCCAGACATACACAGGAAGTAAATGAAATACGAATCTCGCTGACATCTCCTTTAACAGCCGTCATGATTTTCCCATTAAGATGTCTTTAATTAAAATAGATTTTTCTTTGCTATTCTAACACGAATTATACCTAATGTATGTTGGCCTAGTGGTTAGAGCAGTGCACTTGTGCTCTGAGAAGGCTGCAAGTTCGATCCCCGCAGCTTCCACTCTGGGTTTCTGAGCAAGACCCTACTGCTAACCCGGCGCCAAACAATGGCAGCCCACTGCTCCCAAAGGGGATGGGTCAAATGCAGATAGTTAATTTTCCCGCTGTGAGACAATAAAGGGCTTTGCATTTACCTGTCTGTGCCATTGCCGTGTAAATATTCTGTCTACAATTTTGGAAAAGTTGTTTATTTAAATCCATTTTTATTGTTAGTCTAGTTTCTCTTTTTAGACAGTTTGTCTGATAATAGGAGCCTTAGTGGATTTGTGAAAATAGATTTCTTATTACTTGGGAATGGGGATTATGCTGTAAATCTCAGGTATTAGAAAGTATACAAGAAGGATTAACTATTGTGTTTGAATTACATTATCTCCCCAAAACAAAAACAGCATTATAAACAGGGCTAGTAGTAAGTGCATCAATCATTTCAGAGAGCCTTGTTAGTGTTATTCCTCCCTAATGGCTGAAGAACATGTCACTGCAGCAAAATGTATAACACTCTTTTATGGCTCTGTTTCATGCTAGATACATAATGGTAGTTATCTTTTAAAGAAGCCTAAGTTTTGTTATAAATGCTTCTTTGACATAAATGTGTCTTTTTCTGTTGGTCCGTGACATTTAAATTGTACAGCCAAAGTTGTGAATAGTTTGACTTTATACACAGATGGCACATTTCCTCAGTAAACAACAGAAAAATATAGAAAAATGTAAGGCTGGCACTTATGTGCATTCAGCCCCCAAAACAATACTTTCAATGATCACCTTTGTTTCTAGTTACAGCTGCAAGCCTTGTGGAGCATTTCTGTGCAAGCTTTGTCTCCTTTGTGTTGCTTTAGCATGTAAAACCTAAATAATATACCCTGATATATCATGTAAAACTGTAACTAGAGCGTGTAACAAAAGTAATTTCCCTCTGGGATTATTAAAGTATTTCTGATTCTGATTCTGATTCTGATTCTGAAGAATGGTCTTAGCTTAGGCACAATGCTGAGCAAAAGGCAAACTCAACTCCTCCGTCGTCAAGTTTCTTTATTGTCTTATTTTTATTTTCACATCTTGAAAATAAAACTTCTGAAATGTAATCAAAATCCTTTTGTTCCTCTCCCTTTTTTGTAAAATACAAATTAGGCAGTTGATCCAGTTACCTTTTAGGTTTATGTTTGCTTTTAAGGGATAAAAAGGCCTTACTAACTTAAACAATTTTTCCTTTTTTTATTTTCCTTTTCCTTTCTTAATCTGAACTTGGTCTTTTTCTTTTTAAGGTTCAAGGAAAGTAGCCAGAAATTCAGAGCATGTTTGTGCACAATAGACAGGTTGTGTTGCCACTTGTTTGTTTTTGGGGTTTTTTGCTTGACCTTCCCACTACTTGACAAGGAGCTAGACTTTACCTGTCTGAGTCAAACGCTTTACTAAGAGAGATATACAATACCTTCTGCATTATTGAATTTTATAGCAGTGCAATATATTAACCTTGACTGTCTGACACCGCTGTACTGTCAGACCGGTTCCCATTTATCTTCGCCAAAGTCTTGAACCTGAGATGCACTGAAAAATAAAGATACACTTCATTGCGGCAGGCGGCTCTCTTGGAGTCAATGAACACATCAATTCATACTGCATGTAGCAATAAATACTGTCCAGACCAGCATAGTAAACACTAAATACTGTTGTTTATTGATGGGCTGTTGAGTTAAATTGTATCTTTGTGACTGGAGGGGAGGGAAATTAACATTCCAAGCTAGGTGAGGCTTCTTGCTGAGAAAAGTGATTAAGCTAAAATTTCTTTGCAAAATGCGACTAATTAATACGATTAGAAAAAGGTCTGAGCTGGGTTAAGTGCAGGGCCGCAGGGAGCTCTACACTGTGGAAACAGCTCACTATGCTTAAAGTGGAAGAGAATTGCATAGTTGTTCTTGTCCATCTCTAACAGATAAAAACATGCTCTTTTTCACTTATAGGGAACTAAGAAAAGTGGCCATTAATAGTGTTTCTATTTGCTTTTCTTAGTTCCCTATCTGCCTCTAAGCTACAAACATCTCCCCCACCCTTTTACATATGACCAAAAAAAAGTAAATTGTTTTATTATGGTAACAAACAACATAATTGATTTCATAAGATATGGTGTTTGTTCAAACATCTGCCCAAAGTGTTTAAGCTTATATAAGCTGATTATATCAGCTGATAATATCAGTTAGATTAAGGGCCATAGTTAGCTGGCCTACACTGCATTAGCACACCAGCACTTTTTGTTTCATTGCAAACTGGGATTTTAATCATTATTACCATGCTAACAATCATGGACCTCTTAAGTTTCCACAAAATAATTTTCCAAACTGTTCAACTTTGGAGAAATGCACCAAAACAGGGGAGGTAGTTTGAGCGCTAACAGACGAAGGAAACTGTTCCCTCAAAATTTCAACAGAATCTTATTAAAGTGACTTTGAAGCTTAGAAGTAACTAGGACATTCTTTGAATTGAAATTAAACCTTCCTTTCTAAATCTTGTGTATTTGGACAAATGTTTCTCTGACAAAGTTTCTGCAAGGTTTCGTTCTGTTTACGCGTGGGATTGGATTTATAATTAAAGGGATGAATCTGAGTGAAATCAAGGTAACAATGTTCAGACCTGGCTGTGTGTTGCATCATAATGTTTATCCTAAAACAAACTCAAATGTGGTCTTTGATTTTTTAATTTCTTTATTTTATTATTTAGATCACAATGTCAAAAATACTTCAACTCCAGTACATCTCTTAACAAAACGCCAAAACCTATGATTCATTATTTAAACTCTATAATCATCCACTGTTCTTTTTTTGGTGGATGAATTAGCTCCTTTGCATTTTTACTTACAAGCTCTGTTTCTTTTATTGTATTATTTAATGCATCTGAGTGTAGGAACATATATGTATATACACGTCATACAAGTGGATTGCTTTATCAACGGCATCAGTGATTATCTACTGGTGTTTGTGGTTTAGGACAACTGTTACAGGAAATCTGCAAATACAATGAGAAAAGAAATTATTTATTTAGTCAAATTTGGGACTTAATAATCCGGGAAAAAAACTATATGTACAATGCAAAAAAGGTCAATATTCTGATACCTATTGGATTGCAAAAGGATTGCAGAAAGCCTGTTAAAAAAAGAACACACTGTAGAATTATTTTAAGTACTGGATATTAGAGATAGAAAACATGTACAAGATATAAGAACAGGTGAATCAAAAATGTTAAAGACATCTAAACAGGAATATTATAGTGAAATATTAGTTGAGAATAAAAAGAAACAAAAAAACATATGGAATCCATTACATTATGTTGTTAGGACCAGATAAATTCATTATCCACAATATTTTATGAGCAACAAGATTTTTCTGTTGTAATTGGAAAATTCATCAATTATTTTGTATATATGGGCCAAAACTGGCAGAAAATGTCCCTGATCAGTGATCACCATAACTGAGCTCTAGTGTTTAGTGTAACACTTAAAGGACATCACTCAAACAGTTATGTACTGTTATTTTTAAAGCCAACATGATAATTCATAAGGCTGGTTATCGTGATCATATAAATGTTATATTCAATCATTTCTGCTTTCTTAAATTCTCTGATCTTGTAGAGTTTCTGAAATCCCAATTATTTTATGAAGCTAGAAATAAAAAGCTATCAGATAAAATACAAAAAGTATTTGTTGAAAGAAAGGAAGAATAGAATTACAGGGATACTCTAAATTGTAAAATATTTTCTGCTTGAATGAACATGAAAATAACCTGTTTTTCAAAAAATAAAGGAAAGGTGTAAAACATTTTGAAGTGCCAGTTTTGAATTAAAGGAATGTTTAAACATTAGAGTGTTAAGAAAAAATCTCAAACTGATTTTCTTAAAAATACATGAAATGGAGGAAGGGCTGTTAATATCAATGCGTACTCTGAGTCACTGTAAATGGGTGTTTATTTTGCAGTGGTTGTGATGGTGTGGGCAGTGGGTGATAACTAAATTAATGAAGACGTGTATAGGCAGGTGTGAATATTTGTATCCTTATATGTACATAAACTAATTTATTTGCTTACTTAATTGACATTTGGAGTAGTATGGACTCATAAGTTAAATAAGAATCAGGAAAATCGTTCATGGTCTATAGAAAGGTGAAGGTTAGATAATTAAGATAATTATATATGTCAATAATTATATATAATGTTTGCATATGTTGAACGTGTACATTTTTTTCTGGATTGTATGAATAAAGGTTATTCGGTCATTAGGTCATTAATTTGTAGAGCCTTGTTTATGTGTTAACATCATTTTGGATGTCTTTGCAGCTGGGTGAGGACACATTCAACCGAGCAAAGCTGCTTAATGTTGGCTACACAGAGGCTCTAAAGGATGCTGAATACGACTGCTTCATCTTTAGTGATGTGGACCTGATCCCTATGGACGACCGGAACCTCTATCACTGTTACGACCAGCCAAGACACTTCGCTATTGCAATGGATAAGTTCGGCTTCAGGTAAGCTTATTATGGCAAATTATTTAACCCCTTGAGCTCGGCGGGTCTGGTACAGGGCCCAACTAACACCTGCTCATGTTTATCTATTTATAGAAATGGCAAAAAACACAGTCACATGGTGTTACATCCACATGTCTTTCATATGGGGCTTTAAAATTTCTAAAACATGTTTCAGAAGCTTGGTTTCCACCTGACATGTGTGACTCTTCAGGAGTAATGCAACAGCAGGTATTCATTTTTAGCCACACCCACTAATTGCCGCCATCATTGGAAATTAGAGGCACAGACCTTTCCAAGGAGGTTTTGAGGTAATTGTGCGACCATTTCAGGTGATGTAACTGGCATGCGTCACTGCTTACTCTGTTATTCTTATTTTTTGTTCAGTTTAGTGATATTGTTGGTAAATTTCTATAAAACAACGGCTAAATCTTAGGAGCAAAGGCTTTGTCTTATACAGAAGATCTTCAATAATGTAAATCTGGATATTTGTCTGGCCAGATTCCTTGTTATTAGTGGAAAAATACATTTTTGCACTTTTAGCATTGTGAAAAAAATCACATTTCCACCTAGCACACTGCTCACTAAAATCTTTGTGGAATAAACATGCTTCGAATTATTTAGTCCATATCTGCTTGAGTTATAGTCAAGATGTGGATCTATAAAGTTTATAAAGGGTTTTCATGGTGTTTTGCAGTGCTTATTTTTGGGGAAATTTTTTTTTTTAAAGTTTTTACTTTGTTTAATCACCTATACATCAGACATGGTGACATTTAAAATAGTGCTTCCACCTGAAAAATATTCCTCAATGCCTTTCTGTCATAGAAATGCAAACAATTGTATTTCCAATGAATAGATTGGGAGCTGCGCTTTAATTCACATATGTAATTTCAGGCGGTATTTGCTCCTGAGACCCTCACGGCTTAAGGGTTTTTTTCAAATAGCTCAGCCTATGGACCATGAGAGAATGAGACAAAAGAACATTTTTGGGAATCATAAGAAACCCTAATTATAAATAGTGTTTTGATTTTTTTTATTTTTGTGTCATTTTTTAGTTGCTAATGCCTTAATGCTTGTTTTTTTTTTTTCTTGTTTTTTTTCGGGGGGAGGATCTAATAAGTGTATAATCTATTTAACTTTTTATTGCCCAACGTTTGAAAACAAATAATGAAAAAGTGACCAAGCTATAATTATGCAAGGGTAAAAAACACGTTCAGTTAGTCATTGATAAGGTACTACATAGCAGATGCTAACTTTAGCCTTGTTAGCAATAAATACTTAGGGACATTATTTGCATCACTTTTTCATTCTTAATTTTCTACTGTATAGCCTTAAATGATGCCACAAAAATTATTTCAAAGAGGTGGAGGCTTCCTCATTGTTTATAAACCCAAGTGTTGATAGCCAAGGATGCCTGGAAAGAAATCTTCATAAGTTTAAAGATGAGTCTTTAAATTTGCGTTTTTAAACTTAAAGCAATAACCTTTATATCTAGGGCTAATAACTAGACACGTATTTCTGTGATAGGCATAAGGCTTAAGGGAAAACTCCACCACCTGCGAGTTCCCTTGTTTACCTCCAGCCAGTCAACTCAGGGCAGCTTCTTCTCCAAAGCCAATCATCTTGCAAGATCCCCATCATATAGCTCCTGGCCAAACCTTTCTCTCCCCCACGCAAGCAAACTTTCCCCCTTTACCCTCTGGCCTATTCCACCACCAGTGTCCGGGCCCTGGGGAGGAAGACTAGTCTAATCCTTCTCTAGGTTACTCATCCAAACGAATGTTTATTCACAGCACTGAAGTATATAAACCTATCTTGTTTATGTCATTATATGCTTCCATCTCCTTAAACCCCAGTCAGCCTCAGCAGATGGCCACTCACACTGAGCCTGGTTCTGCTGGAGGTTTCTTCCTGTTAAAAGGGAGTTTTCCTCTCCACTACCACTACATGCTTGCTTGGTGGGAGGGATTGGAGAGAGTCAACGAGTCCTCGCAATAAGCTGGTTGTCCTTAAATAGAAACATTTTAAAGAATATGATTGTGTTACCTGTATAAATAAACTGAATAATATTAATATCATTGCAGCTTTTCTCTGTGTCAGTCTCTCTTGGTCAAATTAATGTTGAGGAAAATTAAAAAAATATGTGTAGAGATGTTATTGTACATTGTATATAGTGAATGTTACAGTTACAATTGCATTTATAAAAATATACACAATAGATTAAATTCAGTTTATAGTGCTAATTTGCAACAAATATATAAGGTCAGGGGACTTTACAAACATCTTTTAAAATTTTGTAAGTGAACTTTTTGCTGTTCATGTTTTTATATAACACCCTTTAATAAGTCTAAAAAGATAATAACTGGTTATCAGCTCAGGTAACTAGTATACAGCTGCTTGACATACAGGCTATTTTTAGTTTGGCAAGTGAAACATCATTAGAAACACTATTGCCATATTGTAGCATTACAGCATTAGAATATATTGTTAGCTTACATTCTATACAATGGCTGTAAGTGTTTTTCCTGATTGAAAAGGTTTCCAAGCCACCAACAGTCTTTCTCTCAGAAATGGAAAAGAGTAGCAGTGTTCTTTCAGCCAACTGACTTGTAGCACACAGTAATGGATGGCTTTGGCCTCATGTTTGCCCCAACAAAACAAAAGAAAATGGCTCATAAATCCCAAAGGCTTAAGTAGGTTAAGGAGCTTGTGGGTCTCTTCTCTTGTTTATTTCTGCTGCAAAAACATTAACAAGTGAAAAAAGAAAACGTCCAGAAGTCTTCTACTTAGGAATTTATTTGGGATTGTCATCTCCTGTATTAATGAGAATCTACCCCCAAGGCTTTGGAACCCAGACATGCTTTTAATATTTTTGCGAATAAGCATTAATACACAGTACTTTTTAATTTTTTTCCAGTTCCAGGTGCATTTCAATAACTGCCATTAAATATATTACATGTAGACATATATTTTTTTTTACAGATAATTTTAAAGTTTGGTGATGAAAAAAGTTACCTTCCATTGTCATATACCATTGAAAAATAATTAATACATCAGAGCAATTTAGATAATACATAATTAAACTTTAATTACAGATAGACCCTCTTATCCTAGAACCTCTTTCAGGGGGCCATCAAAAAAGAAAATTAGAGAGAAAGAAAATGTACATGTCTGATGAATTTAAATGCAAAGAAACCAGAGGCTACACAGCTCTGAATTATTGGGCCCTGTTTTATCTTCTGTCATAATGACACCATACCTGACCTCAATTATCTAAAAGCACCAAAAGTATTGATGAATGGTCTAAACATAGTCAACAAATGCGACCTTGCATTGCAAAAGCTGATAGTGCTCTAGAGATCTCCATGTAAAAAAGCCTCCAGGGCTACACTGTTCTTGATTTACTGTAGGGTTCAATGAACTAATGCTATATGACAATAAAAACAATGCCAGGTTGTAAGCAGAAATGTAGCTGACATTCCTCGTTAGTAATTAATCAGCAAGCACTCAAATTAGTTTTACTAATGCTCTCTCCTCCTCAGTAACAAATGAGGATTTAAAAGGTGAGTCAGCAGGTTTGAATATGAACATCAGCCCGTCACCGTGGTTCTAACTTTACCGTTCTTAGTTTTCTGTTGTTGTTGTTGTTGTTTTTTTTATCTCTAACCTTCACCAAAGAAAAAAAAAATTTTTCTAAATGTTAACACTCGTTGGTTATTGGGAAAAGTATTTAGAGGTAGCCCTTTTCTTTCTGGGTTCAGATCACCAAAATTATAATGACACAAGATTTCTAGGGCCCATTTGAAAACTATCCTCATTCGGTCCGCTGCTATATTTGACCCTGTCTAACATAGTGCTAACGGGACCATGGTGCCTCTTGAATACATATCATTACATGTTAAAGTCCATGTAAAGTAGCAAGAAATATGTGTTCTCACTGCAAAAAGGATCTGGAAATAAGTCAACATTTCTTAAATTAAGTTTATTTACTCTTTTTTTGAGTAGGTAAATAAGATAATTTGCGAATTGAATGAGTACAATTACTCTTAAAATAAGACAATTAGATAGTATGCGCTTGAAATAAGACAATGCAATTATGTTTTCTTATTTTAAATGTAAATTGTTTTGCACCATTGGCAAAGTGTCTCACTTACCTCCTCAATACAAGAACAAATAACACTTATTGTAAGAAAAAAATGACTTACCTAGATTTTGACTTTTTTCCAGAGTTTTAGTCCAGAGAAATGTGCGTTATTAATTACCCAGCCAAAGTTAAATAATAAAACATCTGCTAAGCATGTAAAATTAGGTATTTAATGTCACTGGAGGGGAGTCTGCTGGAATGAACTGCAATGATGGCCATGCTAAAGAACATCCCATGTACTGTGGCAATTATTTGACATAATGCATAGGAAAATTCATAACTCTAATTTGATATTGAATAGAATATTCTCATTGTTTGTAAGATTTCTGTATAGTATTTAGAACAATACTTTTAGGACATTAATAACATGTTTTAAAAAAATGCCTTCTTCCAGTCTTTAATATATAGTTACAACTTAGCAAAGTTTTATTTTTTATTTTTTGTAATTTAAAGACTTTATTTAGTGCTGTTTATCCCAGTGTATCCTACTGCACCTCTACTACCTTCCAATTCATTCATTCATGAATTAGACTTAAAGAATATAAAGATACTTTTCCTGTCAGTGCTAAAAAGCTTTGCTATAAATTGCACTTTAGTAAGTGAGGCAGTAGTATGTTGAATGGTCATATCCTTCCTGCATTTTGAGTGTGCAGAGAAATAAGTCATTCATATTCTGTAAAATCGAATGCTTAGATGTGGCTGTATTCAGATCTTCCATCGTAGTTCTACTACATTAAGGACAAAAAATGCATTTAATATTTTTAGTTTTGTAACACATCCAGAATCTGCTAAATACTATATTAGTGCATATGCATGAGTCTAAATGTTAATAGTTGTATTTTAAAAGGAGCTAATCTCTTTCAAATCTGTTTTAACACTGGAACCAAATCATTTAAAGCTTAGAGGCTAATTTAAAAATTGCAGAAACCTTTTTTTAATGACTGTAATTTACAGTGTGTTGATATGACCTTTAAAGGCTGCTGCACAGTAAAACATTACTTCCAGCACACTGGGGGCACGGAAACCAACAGAAATCAATGCCTTTGGGGCTTTAATTTCGTGTTATGTGGAAAATCTGGAGAGCTGGAGAAGTGACTGACCTTCAGTTTGTGTGATGTGGTCAGAGCTTTGGGCCATGACAAAGTTGTGTTTTATAAGAATTCTATTAAAAGCCGAGAAAATTCCCCTGTTCCTGTTTTTTAGCATTATGGTTATCTTGTTTCAATTGGTAGATAATAATAAGGACTCACAAACAGAAAAACCTTATAAGTATGAGCAGATAAGTCTTAGTTGGAATGCTGTTTGCTACTACTTTTTACAGATCAACCTTTTGTAAACATTTGCAAAAAAATCTTTGATTTCTATATTTTTTTCAGATCTTTTTTCAGCTTCTATATGTTTTTTAATTTAAAATCAGTAAACTATTCCAGCTGTGGTTTTTAGAATGAAATTCTGCTGCAGCAACCATCCCTTTTTTTACATCAAGCTTTCAAACAGATGGTTTGTTGTTTATTTCCAGTATAAAATTAATGCCTTTAATGCTTATATTTTTGTTCTTACTATTCATCCTGATTTACTTCAATAGGCTTCTTTTAAAGTTTTGTAAATACTTTTATCTGTGCTCCCAAGGTCTTGGACCAAAACATGCAGAATCAAGGCTGAACGTTGTTTTTCAACACTTCAGGGTTCAGGATTTGGCTTAAATAGACTCATTCAACTGAGAGATTTCAGATCACACTTCTTATGAAAGTAATCAATAATTTCCATCAAATCCTTCCACTTCTTAAATCAAACCAAACACTACATGCATGTCTCCATTCTTTCTGTGTTTTCTCAATATTTGCTCTTATTCTTTCCCAGAATGTATTCTGTCGAACACCCCCTCTCAAACACTGCTCCTGACCATATTGTTGTTTGGAGATCTTGTGCTAAAACATACGGTCTCATTACTTTCTGCTTGTCATCTCTCAACAAGGAGCTGTCACACATCTGACAACACAGCGTACACACACGTAGGTACACACACACACCCAAAGCTGTCTGGTTAGACTCCAGGCGCCTCTCATGACACCCCCCACCGATGTACGTCCCACTCCACTAGCCTTGTGACTTCTGACAAGAAATAAAACTACTTGTCTGCCTTTTATAGTTTGTCATGTTTGCAAGCACACACATACACATATTACCAAACTCTATTCCTATGCCTGTTTATTCATCAGTTAGAAAATTAATTCACCTCATTAATTTGCCATTCATACATGTGAAAACTCATCATTAGAAGCTTTCTAGCATTCGGTCTAACAAGGCAACTTCTTTCATAAACAGCCACTGATGAACAGCTTTTGCAGCCTGCTTAGAGCTGTTTTTTATGTATTTATTTTTTTGCATTTTGCATTCAGCCATTTTACATCTTGAGTGTGAAGTGAATTATCCTATTTAAATCAAAAGTCAGCTGTAAATTAGCCAGAGAGACTTAAAGCTGCTATTTATATGTAAACATTCTTAGTTAAATCTGCACATAGAGAGAGGCTCCTTCTAAAGTAGGAGGCAATATAGCATTTGCTGGATTAGTGTCCCCTGCACTTTTTCAAAAGTCCGCATTGGTTCCCCGCCCTTTTTACTGTCCAAAAACACTTTACGCTACAGTACACAGACAATCGTTGAGCACTTTGACCTACCTGCAGCTCAAGCTGAAGCCCACTTCCCAGGGTTTAGACCACCCACAAGCTCCTAAATGCCCCTCCATCTTTTCTTGTGTGATTGGCTGTCACCGCTGTCACTCCTGAGAACCTTAGTTTGCAAACATCTGATGCGCCATTGAATCAGGTCTGTGATTGGATGGTCACAGCGCTGCTGAATTCCTACACTCTACCGTAATTAGAACTGTAGTTTCACAAGTCGTTTTCTCTGCTTTCTGGTACGTTTTGGATTTTTGAGATATCTTTAATGATCGAGGAGTTACGGTCTTGTAGAAAAACATTGGTCCGTAAAAGACTAAAGATGTTGAGGGAATCTGCTACTGTAAATGAGGCATTTTTTTCATCTTCTGGGTCATGTAATTTACAAGGGTTGTAATATCAGGTGTATTAATTTACACAAATCTTTGAATATGTGTCATGTGCGTGCATGTGTTTGGTAATTAGACTTACAGCCAGGATATCTGAAAAAAGAAAGAGATATAAGAGACGTCTTTAAACGTCAAATTGTGAGTTACATTCAAAGAACTGTGTAACACCCCTCCTAAAACACCTTCACTGGCTCCATTAAGCAGCCTATCCTCTACAAGATCGTCCACCGCACTATAAAGCTTTCCATAACCATGTAAAGTATTTTTATTTTATTAAAAGTGTTGATAAATCAAATTTATTATTGTTATATATTATTATCATCAAAAAAGTAAAAAAATACAATATTAATGTGATTTTATATACATATTATATATGTATTATTTATATAAGCTCATAATATTTTTAAAACTGTGTGTTTATATTCTACATGCACCATTTCTATTCCATTCTGCACCACTGTCTACATACAAACACAGTTGAACTAATAGAAAACACTCTGAACTTATATATATTAGTTATATTAAAGAAAACTTGTGTCCCCCCCACTTCTGAAATCAAAATTTTGTTCATGCCCTGACATAAAAAGCAATTAGGAGGTACATCTCTATCAAATACTTATAATTTATGGTAAATGCCTATACATCTATAGCTAACTATGATTCTGCTGCAACTTTTAAAGGAATTTCCCATTTCTTCAATATATATATATATGTCTTGTCAAACTGCCACGGATAAGATATTCCTAGAATGTCCTGACCTATGGTGAGTTTCCCAGACTGAACATGGGAATGTCAAAACTTATATTAGTAGGTTTTTCTCTTCTCCCTTTCTAAAAGCTCTTGATTCAGCAGAGAAATTAATCCTCCATGAATAACATTATTGTTTGTTGATTTACTTTAAGAAATGTTTTTCTCTCACTGTTCATGCTTCCAATCTCTTTTCTCTCCATGTCCTGCAGGTTGCCCTATGCTGGCTACTTTGGAGGAGTTTCAGGGCTCAGTAAAAAGCAGTTTCTAAAAATCAATGGCTTTCCAAACGAATACTGGGGCTGGGGAGGAGAGGACGACGACATTTATAACCGGTAAGTGAGGAGAATTGCAGTGTGAGCTGAATTGTCTGCATGCGATTTCCTTTTCACTCCGATGTACAATAAGAATTTGACGTTTTACTTTATTAAGCTTACCAAGCCATTTAACTCTAATCCAAAAAAATATATATATAATTTATCTGAATATGGATGTATCTGATTATTGAAAGACCTATTATTGCGTGGATTTATTTATACTTTTTAGATCATTTGTGATACACTATACCTGAATTATTTTTGAATGACAATAGATATAACATTTTCCCAAAAACTGAGTCTTGGAAAGAGAGGATGTTGACTCTTTTAATCATTGTTTGAGCAGAGATCAGAGACAGAACAAAGAATACTGTTTGATCTGCCTTTGACTTCCTCTTTACTTAGATAGTAACTAAATGGTATAGTGGAGGATCTTTGCAAATTTTTGAAAAGACCCACCCTCTCCACTTTAAAAAAAAAAAAATGCACATGCACAACCATGTACCCGCTCACAATAGGGGAACGCTTAATAAAAGCGTGCAAGAGCATGCACTAGCCCATTTCTTGTTTAAAAGTTGATTTGCAATTTTTCACTATGTCACACTCACCACCTGTAAGTCAAAATGGGGACGAGCACGTAGGACGGCCTATTGTAAACATATCACCGGATTGATTGACAATTAGGAGGGCCACTTATTTTTATGATCCACCTGCGAAGAGAACATCCTTCACTATACCTTTTTAACAGGATTAAATGCTGGTATGTTGATTTCTCTATTCTATTTTATATAAAAACAAGTAGGTGTAATATTTAAACAAACTAAATTAGCCTTTTGAACTCAAAAAAGAGGGGAGGAAATCTGACAATGTAACAAAAAAAAGATTTTTATTTAATATTTGAATTCAAGATCAAATAAAGTAAGAAAGATATTAAATAGTTTTCACTTGGATATCTCAATTTCTTTGTAATGTGATTTATACATTTGACTTGACAGAATTCCTCACTCTAAAACATAGAAAAAGTATATGAAATAAGACAAAGATTAAAAAAAAAACTCTATAAAAATACTATAATTTTAACAAACCATTACAGATATGTTTAGAATTTATTAAAAAAAAACTGCATGTTAAAATGGATTTGCCCCTATTAATGATTAGTTGAAAGCCATTCCTGGTATTGCAGCATTTAAAGCCAGTGTTTCTAAGCCTCAGTCATCAGGTTTCCTTCCAACCACACACCTCACTTACAGTCAATAATGGCTGATTAGCAGGTTTGTTATTGTCACATTTAGGAGGCAATACAATCATCTGTGTTTGTTGCACTGGAGCAGAAATGCATTTAAAGTACTTTTATCTGGACAGTGGCTTCAGATCAGGGTTATGAATGACTAATATGACTAATATGTTCCTACTGATATTGTAAATGGCATGTACTTATATAGCGCCTTTTTTCAAGTCAGGAGACTTGACCAAAGCGCTTTACACTACATTCATTCACCCATTCACGCACACACTCATGGTGGCAAGCTACTGGGGCTCACTGACAGAAGCGGGGCAACTGTACACTGGCGCCACTGGGCCCTCTGACCACCATCAGTAGACAATGCAGGTGAAGTGTCTTGCCCAAGGACACAACGACATTGAAAGTCAGAGCTAGGGCTTGAACCGTCAATCCTTCAATTTCAGGGCAAACTCCTACATCCAACGCCACTGTCGCCCCAACACCACTGTCGTTGGGGCGACATCATATTGTGATGATTTATCTTTAGCGATCATCTCCTTACCTTAAGGTTTTTCTAGGTGGCCTTGGCTAAAACCTTTGGGCCCCAGAAGCCTTAAGGGCCAACTGATGGATCTGTGAAGATTACCTGGTTAAACTTAATTTTCTTACAGATATAAATAGTTCAGAACTTTACATTTTTCTTCAAAGGGCAGAATATAATTATAAGCAGGTTCAAAACAATGTATTATTTTGTGATGATTTGAGGGTTTTTTAAACAAAGTTCTCTTGTCAGACGACCTACAGCAGCTTAAACAGTCAAAATAAATGTAAAGTCAGTCATTATTTTTTATTTCTGCTATTACTAAAAAAAAAAAAAAAGTGGGACTTCAGCTAAAAGTGACATATGAGTTCTTAATTTAGATGATTTATTACAAGTGTTCATAGAAGGAGAATGATTATTTGATAAATTAACCTTTTGAAGTCGTCCAGTCAGCTTTTAATGTCAAGCTGGAGTTCACTAATTATGTTGCAGTGGGTGTTGGCTGGACTCAAATCTTGGGGAGCGTTAGATGTTTGACAGGTTGACAGGAAGATGAGTTGGGTCTCCCTGGGTGCATTCAGGCATCAAGATGACAATTAGTTTGATTAATATTGAACTCATAATGTTCTCGTACTTGGCGCTCCCTTTTATTACATGCTTAACATAGGATCTTGCGAATATCTTGGCATCATTATTTCATTTAAAGTTTAAAACTGCTACAATATCTGCTTGCAGTTTTAAACATTCCCTTACATCCGTTACCTTAAACCCCCATTACCCAATGGAAAAAGTCACCTGGGTGTTTCTTTACAACTCATCACAAGTCATCTTTAAAGGAAATTCAATGTCGTTGAAATGTACATTCAGCAGAAGGGGCTTAAACGTACTACGTAATTATAAAAGACATACAGCTCAAAACAGCCGGACGCCTCTCCACAGGCGTTGTGCCACTTCCATCTTTATTGTAGCTATATTCTGTATCATCTCTGTTTTCTGATCTGCTTTATGCGTGTGTCCCACCCTCACACTGTTTGGCTTATCTTTTCCTCTCAGAGTTATGATGTCAGAAGAGAAGTGAAAATGGAGAAAGGCTGTGTTTGACTTTGTGCGGCAAAACAGCGTTCAGAAGATTACAGTTGTTTGTCTGAATCTGGTAAGATGTGATAAAAAGCGATCCATGTAGGGAGCCGCTGTGTGAGAGAAAGTTGTGTGTACTTATATATCTGCAATAATGTGCCAAACTGATGATAGATAGAGTTAAACCACTAAGTTTTTATTGGATAAAAAGAAGCACTCAGCCATTAGATGCTTTAGATTTCCCAGGAGATATTGGACTCCGCTTCCACTGTGCTTTTTTTGCCGTAAGACATGAGATTAAGTTGGTGAGATATAACAACATTTATTTCAAAAATATTAACTTTCTAACATTGGCTGTTTTCCCATCAATGTTTTTATGCACATTTTAAAGTATCCGATTTTAGAAACGCTGTTGGAAACAGCAAAACTTGAAAAACTCAGTTTTGCAAAAAAGGTACCTATCCTCATATGAGTTAGTTTTTGGCTTTTCTTAAAAAATTAGTTAATAGGCTAAACATGAGATCAAAACACAATTGCCGCAGAGGCCAGTTCCCAGAACAGAGCTGGCCTTTATTAGCTTGTTTAGTTTCTAATGCTGGTACCCCAGCAGGTAATGGCAGACAAGCTTACAGTATCCACAACTTCTAAAAGATATGCAGCATCTTTGTGCAAACACAGAGAGACCTTAGCTTCCTTAAGAGGTACAGTCTGCTCTGCTTCTTATTGTAGACAGCTTCACAGTTTCAAGTCTAGTTTGTTGTCCTGGAAAACACCAGGATTTTTACTCCTTTGATACTCCTTCAATGCCTCAAATCGAAATCCCTTCATGTTAAGTTTTCAACTTGTTCCTGTTACTTTTTAAACCCACAATAATCTTCCTTGTTTTGTTCCACCCAATGACTGCAGAGTTCTCAGAATTTTCTGAAGATGACAGGAATCTGTCTTTACAGAAAGTAGGAGGTGTGCAGAGTAAAAAGGAACGAGAGAGTACCGTCCCCTGTGGTTCTCCTGTTCTGCTAACTACTTGATTAGACAACTGACCTTTCAGTCTAATAAAAAAGTAATAGAATGATAATAGAAAACACAGATACATAAATCAAGAAGATTATTATAAGGTTTCCTTGCTTAAAATTGTCCTTCAGACATTTTATTTATTAAGATCAGACAAGAAAAAGGGAACACCACCAGTTTTATAAAGAAAAACTGCTAACTAATGGCAAAAGCACACAATTTAAATAAGAACACATGCCTTAGTGGGCCATATGTGACATACATATTTTGCCAGGCAATTTATACTTTGCTTCTCTTCTGTCAGTGAGCCTTTGCAAAGCCATGGTTACATTGCAGCTCACCACCACCAGTGTGTGGTTGCTTGTTTGAATGGACCAATGACTGAAAGAGGTGTACTGTAAACCCCGTGGAGTTCCCTGACTGGTAAAGGCACTATATGAGTACATTTACCATACTGGATGTTAAATGTTTGCAACATTTTTTCAAATGCAAGCCTTTCGACACTATTAAGTGAACTACACTGTTTGTGAGTGGGAAACATTTTTCACTGGCTTTTTTGTGTTTTGTTTTTCAATTAAATGGTCCATGGATCATAGAGTCACATAGAGGTAGCTATAGGAAAATTGGATTGGATGATTATGCACTAGATGCAGATGCATGTTTGTAAAATCGCCACATTTATTTACTGTTGTTTAATAACAACTGCAACATACCAGCTCGGACAGGTTCACCATCTTCATTCGGTTTGAATCCAGAGAACTCGCATACTGCGGCTCTAAGAACAATTTCCATCTTTTTTTTTTTTTTCCAAATCTCACCTACTCTTCCTGTGGCTTCCTATTCCCCACTCATGGGGCACTTATGCTACACTCTGAGGTACCTAACAAGACCACGCAAGACCTGGCAAGTGCCTGACACAAGAGTTCACTCCTAGCTACACAAAGTAAATGAGAAGGGGAGGGGTGAATGGAGACTGATGCACCAGAGTGAAACCTTTTGTCATCCAATCTCTTTTGCAGAAAGAGAGAAAGGCACAAGGAAAACACGCAAGTGTAAACAAATGTTATTAAGCTCATTTAAAATGGTCAGATCTATCTGATTTTCCCATATTGCTCTTCTTTCTCTACATCTCCAGACACCATGTCACATCCTCTATACTACGGTAGT